CATTTCTCTTTTTTCGCAAGAAGATTGTCGCTTTTCTGTTACCACCTCCTCTTCTGACAAACTTTCCTCAAAAACTTCTTGCTGTGAAACACAATGCAACTCCATAAGCTCTTCGATGGTCAGCTCTTGGCTGTGCTCTTCCACAAGTTCTTCGATGTCACTGTTATCCACCTCCATTCCCATGATAGTGGCCAAAGACACAATCTCGTTGACTACAGGCTCCACAGGTACTGTCTCGAACCCCTCAAAGTCACAAATCGGCAATGCTCTCAGGCCAAAGTTTCTTACAAGCAGAAGTTAGGGTTCTCTTGGTAACCCCTTCCCCCGCCTTGTCGATCATCTTGAGGCAGGCAACGATGTGGAAGTGATGTTTCCAAAACTCTTTGAGAGTGAGGTTGGCCCTTCAGTCACCTGAAAACAATGTTCGAAGAGTGCTTTAGTGTAGAGCCTCTTAAAGTTAGAAATAACTTGCTGGTCCATGGGCTGGAGTAACAGAGTGGTGTTGGGAGGCAGAAACTGGATCTTGAAGAACTTAAATTCTTAAGAGAGGCCATCACGTAGGCCTGGAGGATTCACATACACATATCACAATATAACACAAGTTTGAGAAAATGTGTGATCACAAGCGACACTACGATGCTACTGGAACGAGTGCTAAACACAGACTGATGTAACATGCGCACAATTCGGGACTTCCCTTCTCCTCGCCACTCGTTATGCGAAACATCGCTCGTTAAGCAAGTCATTTTTTTTAAACAATTTGTTTTGCTTGTTATGCGAATTACTCGTTATGAGAGTGCTCGTTAAGCGAGGTTTTACTGTGTTAGAAATGACAAGGTGTGAAGTCTTGCATGCACAACCTACAGTCCCCAACTGTCGCTACTTGACCTCCATTTGTTTAGATCTTTAACATAAATTTTCCAAAAGATGACAATTCTACATCGACACAGCCGTTGCCTAAGCTGTGACCCAGTATCTCAGTGAGCAAGGTCCTCTGTGTAGGATATCCACCCTCTCCACTAGCCGTTTGGCATCCCGCTCTGAAGGTTTGGGCTTGTTTCAATGACAGCATTGTTAGATTCACAAGTGAAATTCTTATGGGGATCGAGGAATATAATCGATGTAGCTACGGTTTTTGTACTTTATGAGACGCTCTCGACAGGCACCTATTCATTCGTAAGGGCGATTTTAAAAAAGCGGGGAGGGGAGAGAGAGCGAGAGCGAGCGAGCGAGAGAGAGAGAGAGAGAGAAAGAGAGAGAGAGGGAGAGAGAGAGAGAGAGAGAGAGAGAGAGAGAGAGAGAGAGAGAGAGAGAGAGAGAGAGAGAGAGAGAGAGAGAGAGAGAGAGCTTCAAAGCCATATGTGATGAGACCCGGTACAATGAAGTAAATCCAATTGCGTGCCATTTCCTATAACTTTTGAGTGATGCTTGTCAGAATCCCTAGGGAAGAACAACGTTCGACAACTCGACCACCATCCTTGCTTCCTAACAGTTGCTTAGATTAATTATGCCACGCCCACCTGACAAAATACCTGACATACGTTTATTATAGTCATAGGGGCATGTTTCATGAAATCACACCTAGTCTTCGATGCTGTTTCAGATGCCATCTAGTCTGAACTACCAAACATTCGCAGCTCTTGTGGAATATTTAACAGCGCCTAACACATGGGACAGTATCGCTAAAGTTCGCGCCATTTTCAGATGGGTGACGTCTGTGGATGTGTTCAGAATGCAGGTAAGTTTATTCTTTGATACTATTATAATAAGTAAAATAACATATTCGTGTGTGACGGAGGGCCGTGTGATGCGAGGCTTAATATATTTTTTTTAACCTTTAACAATCGGTACTTCGGGGATTGAGGTGGTCAGCAGCACACCTGCCTGGTACCACAATTTCAGGCTAGGTGGACCTGGAAGCCGTGTTAATTCCTTTACCCCCCCGCCCCCACCCCACCCCTTTCCAGCCAAACTATTCTACTGCGGCCCGAGGCTCCTGTTAATATGGGCACAGACACTATTACTGTTTTTAGTCGTAGCAAGTTTTTGCTTCTGACAATAATTAGTCGTTGCGTTTTCCTCCATATGTAGACTGAAAAGATTTAGTTCCGTTGCCCAAATATTGATTTGAGTGCATGGCCCGACACTGTGAGCATTTGATTCCTTTGGAGTGTTTTTTTCCTTGTTTAAGTTTTAGTGGTGAACTACAGATTCGGGGAATGGCGAATGGCCTGTTGCCAGAGTTCTACCGGTACCGCATGCGATTGATTGCGTGTGCAACTACCGATCTGTTGTTACTGCTGCTTTCATCGGCGATGAACTACATTTCTAATGCCGGGCTGTTTGTGTTAGTACTTCTCACAGCTGCCTTTTGCATTTGATGGGTGTGTATGCTATTGGCTTTGCTACGACTTCAGTATGTGTTAAGGTTTTTTTTCTCCGCAACACGCAGTTATGAATATTCTTGTGGTTTTCGTTGGTATAGGAACAGAGCAACTTTAGGTAGCTCATAGCTACCTGATTACCTGGTTATATCTTAAGAAAAGAACACCCCACAGTGTCGGGAAACAAATCTGTATTGCCTGCGTTTATCGTGTTTACATCGGTGTTAGGGGCTTGTAAATTTTCGTCTTCCTCTTCTTCTTTGCTTTCAACTGCTGTGAAATCCGGCGAAAGTTTTAGTTATTCGTTTACTTCTGGACTCTAGTGCTGTTCTAGAACCTAAGTGCTGCGTGAACATCTATTTTAAAGACAGCCTTTGTTCGAATGCAGACTGTTGGGTCCTCGCTTTTCAGGCAGATGCACTCCGACTTCGAAGGAAGCTTTAATCCAACGGTTCTCAATATTCCGATCGTGACCTTTCTTTGGGTCCAATGACCCGTTCACAGAGGTCGCCTAAGACCATCGGAAAACACACATTCATGGAAGTTATGAAGGGAAAATAATTGTTTGGGGGTCGCCACAACATGAGGGAACTGTATTGAAGGGTAGCGGCGTTAGAAAAGTTGAGAGCCACTGTTCTAATCGTTCGACTCTTACGACATCCTTTTCAGGTAGGCAATGGGTCTACTCCTTTCCCCCCCCCCCCCAAATAATGGGGTCCCAGAATCCTTTAGGGTGTGGTGGGGGGGGGGGGGATTTTCTCTAAGGAAATAGATACATCGGCACAGCCGTTAACTAAGCTGTGACCAAGTGGCTCAATGAGCGAAGTCCTTCTCCGTATACAGTATCTATCCTCTCCCCTTAGCCCTTTGGCATCCCGCTACGAAAGTCTGGACTCGTTTCAAGGAGGGCTGTTTTAGATTCACACTGAATTAATCATTTTAGGGAATAGATCTTTTCACAGAGTCAAGACGGGAATTTAAAAACGGTACTTTTTTTGGGCAGATCCACATATCAAAACCGAGTAAGACCCAGATCATGCAGGCGTTTTGACACTTCCTGCTCCTTTCATACACCAGATAGACTGACAGCCAAGCATTACTACACTCGACCTTCATTCGGTGTTTAATTTCTAGAGGTCTCACCCCTTCACTAATTAAAAAAAAAACGAAATTTGATTTGTGGCGGGGCGGCCATATTTGAATTCTTATTAAAAAAATCACACTTTCTTTTGCACGTGAGTCAGTGTTAACCCCCTTGCATCTCAACAATAAAACAGCCCCGGGTTAAAAACTATGGGTTGGTTTTGTAATTTAAAACACTTTTAAGGTTTTTTTGAAGCCCCACGTAAAATGCCTTTTTTAAAAATTCACGGGAGTTTGGTTTCCCTTTTTCCCCCCCAAAACACCCCAGATGTGGAAAAAACACAATCGGTTTTTAAACAAATGGGCTTTAAGCGTGTGGTAGATCGATAGTCCCAGGTGGTACAAAAGGGACCCTTTTGGGGCCCCCATGAAAAAAAAAAATTTCACTGATGAACTCAAAAGGCTGTCAGAGTTTGTTAAAAACCCTGACTCGTATTCCGTTTTTACAAAAAATTGCAGAACCAACGCCGGATTTTTTTTAAATGTGTGGTGTAATTTGAAATGGAATTTTTCCTCAGTAGTTTGCCCTTCTTTTTTCCCCCAAGATCAGTTTTTGATAACACTGTTGAAAACCAAAAAAAGGTGGTCTTACCCAAAACGACGCAGCGTGATCAAAAGCCCGCACCCTGAATTCCGAAGCGCGTTTACAAAGCCCCAACCAGACAACAAAAGGTTTTAAAAAAAAATGGCCCCCCCTTTGGGACGCTGGGCGTATCTGGACCTCAGGTAGACTCAAATTTTCAAGATCGCCCCCGGGGGGGGGTGGCCAAGTCACGTAGTACCTTTTTTTCCCCGGACTTTTACTGGTGCCGATGTCGACCTGGGGGCAAGGCATCCGGCTTCAAATTTTTCCAAA